AGGAATTCGTACAACTGGTTAGAAATGTTAAAAAAGAGATAAGGAAAGCAAAAAGAAACTATGAAGTTCGCATAGCAGGGCAAGCAAAGACAAATCCTAAAGGGTTTTTCAGTTATATCGTACTAAGACTAGGGAAAGGATAGGTCCATTAAAAACTGAGACAGGTCAAATAACAGATAGTGATGAAGAGATGAGTAGTATTTTTAATAAATATTTTGTATCTGTATTTACTAAAGAGGAACTTAACAATATGCCTTCAGCCGAACAAGTCTATGTGGGTGGGGACGAGGACAGGTTGACGAGTTTAGCAGTTACCAGGGAGGATGTTCTTAAACAAATAGTAAAACTCAAACCAAACAAATCCCCAGGGCCGGATGAAGTGTTTGCTAGGGTGCTTAAAGAATGCAAAGAGGAGCTTTGTGACCCACTGTCAACCATATTTAATAAATCAATAGAGTCAGGCAGAGTGCCAGAGTTTTGGAAAGTTGCTAATGTGATACCAGTTTTTAAGAAAGGAGATAGATCACTTGCGTCTAACTATCGACCAATTAGCCTAACGTCTATTGTGGGAAAGTTACTCGAATCTATAATAGCAAATAAAATTCGTCTTCATCTTGAAAAACATAAATTAATAATTGAGTCGCAACATGGTTTTATAAATGGCCGTTCATGTTTAACAAATTTGTTATCTTTTTATTCTAGCATTGTTGAGGCAGTTGATAGTGGTAAGGATTGCGATGTTGTATACCTTGACTTTAGCAAAGCTTTTGATACAGTGCCACATGAAAGACTGATTAAAAAAATAGAGTCTCATGGTATTGGGGGTGCTATATTAAGCTGGATTAGGGCATGGCTATACCAAAGGAAACAGAGAGTTAGTATAAATGGAATCAAGTCAGAGTGGGAAAATGTTGTAAGTGGAGTGCCTCAAGGCTCTGTCCTGGGACCTCTGTTGTTTATAATATATATAAATGATTTAGATTCAGGTTTGAGTAGCAACATTTGCAAATTTGCCGATGATACGAAAATCGGTAGGGAAATTAATTCGGAGGAGGACTCACTATCACTTCAAGTTGATCTAGATAGGGTTTTGAAATGGTCAAAGGATTGGCAGATGCAGTTTAATGCTGATAAATGTAAAGTTCTGAGGTTAGGTAATGATGATAGAGTTACAAGATACGAGCTAGATGGTGTTGTGATTGCGAAGTCGGATTGCGAAAGGGATCTGGGAGTTATGATTAGTAAGAATTTAAAACAAAAGGATCAATGCATAAATGTACGTAATAAGGCAAATCGGACACTTGGATTTATTAATCGCAGCGTTAGTAACAAGACACCTGGTGTGGTTCTCAAGCTATATCTTGCTCTAGTTAGGCCCCATTTAGATTATGCAGTTCAGTTTTGGTCGCCATATTATAGAATGGATATAAATTCACTTGAACGTGTCCAGCGTAGGATGACGAGTGACTCCATCTCTCATTGTAACAACTGCGCCTTGTACCCCCTCTCTTACTGGGGATGCTCGGTGCTATCACCTACGCACTCGCACGCGCAAAATTCCTTCCGATTCTAATACATCCCAAGCTTTGCTTGGTCCTGTTAGCGGATAAAGTATTTTGATCTCAGTCATGTTGATTCTACTTATGATTTATTCATCTATAAACACCTAGTTGATTCGGTGGATACCTTTGTCACTGTTAACCACACCCGTACTTGTACACGTGTCATTGCAGCCCATTCTCAGGAAGCGTCAGCCGCTTTAATCTAGTTGTCCTACATTGGGGAAACCCCCCTGTTCTTATCTCCAAAATTGCCCGGTTAAATGCCAGCATTGGCACAGTTATTCTCCCGCACCATGTTGCGACTGGTAATAGGACACGGAAAGACTGCCATGATGATATTAAACATGTCCTCGAGACCCAAGGCCATTCTATCCTTCAGAGTGATACATTCACTCGACCCCCGCGTGGCCGTCGTCGTCAGCCTCTTCGCGTTGTGAAGATCACTTTTGATAGTAGGTCCCTCCCATCTTCCGTAATTCTTGCTGGTGCCAGATGCTCCGTTCAGGAGTACATCCCCTCTCCTCATCTCTGGAATAGGTGCTGGAGATTTGGGCATGGTCCCTCCAAATGCACGAGAGCGGTGTGTCTATGCCCCTTGTGTTGAGACTCGAGACAGAGTGTTGACCAGGCCACACACTAGGGTCTGGTCAACACTCTGAAGGGACGACCGAAACGTCGTCGTCCCTTCACCTTCTGATGAAGGGACGACGACGTTTCGGTCCGTCCTGGACCATTCTCAAGTCGATTGTGCTCGACTTGTCGAGACAGTCAAGTCGAGACAGAGTGCTCTTCTTCACAAGCTCACTGCATCAATTGCGATGCAGACGCCCACCCTACCTTCTCCCGCGCATTTGCGCTACAAATTTGAGGAAACCATCCTCAATTTGAAACACCGCGATCATTTATCCTGAGGCGAGACGCTAGGTACTCCGTCTTCCCCTCGTTCTCTGCCATATTGTATGCTCGTGTGTTGCGTTTCACTTCTCGCCCTCTCCCACTTTCTCATTTTCGCAACCGTTTCCAGGCCTGGTCGAGGACCGGGCCGCGGGGACGCTAAGCCCCGAAATCATCGCAAGGTGAGGCCTTGGACCCGGACACCACCACCACTACCTCACCTACTCCTTTGCGTTTTGAGCCAAAGGGTCTAGCCAAATATCCCCAGTTTGCTAACTGTAGGTAGTAACTAAGTGATTGTAACCTATCAACCGCTACCCACTGGATGGGGGGGGGGGGGGCGTGCATGATAACCATATCAATTATGACACTATCTCTCCACATATGTCAGTTGCTTAATTTAGAAACTACTTGTTGTCGATCTCGAACCCATTGATGTGACGATATGTATTGAATTTTGTAACTAGCTCATCAAGATTGTAACTTGCTTAGCTAAATGAATTGTGGGGTTCAGTCCCTGAGCCCATTATGTGCCTCTGTAACCCTTTCCACCACCTCCCACAAGATGGGTATGGGGTGTATAATAAATGAACTAAACTAACTATCCATCATGTGATTATTATCATTCTCTTTTTCTTTGTTCCTTTTTTAAATTCAATTTATGCTTTTGATCTCAATTAGTATTAAGTTTTAGTCTAGCTTTTTTTCCCCCCCACACTTTGCCCGAAACGCTGTACGTATTAGGGGCTTCAGGCATTGTATGTATTAACTCTAAAATCCGAAATTATGTTTGTAACTCATTTTCAATATATGTACCTTTACCTGAATAAATATCTTATCTTATCTTATTTTATCATTTAATTACATGGTGATTCAGGACATGTGAATAGTTTTGATGGCATTGCTTACATTTGGTCAGATCTATCTCATTAGGTCCAAACGCCCATTGAATTAAACGAGCCTATTAACTACGTGAATGTTATTAAGGCCTTGACATTGTATATAGTTTAATGATCAATAGCAGGTAATATTTAAGCCCTTTACATAGTCCAGACTAAAGTAAACATAGTATATACATAGAAAAAGCTGGGTTGTTGTTGTTATAGATTCAGCTACTGGGAACAAGTTCCAAGTTTAACAGTCTCCGTGGTGTAGTGGTAAGACACTCGCCTGGCGTTCCGCGAGCGCTATGTCATGGGTTCGTATCCTGGCCGGGGAGGATTTACTGGGCGCAATTCCTTAACTGTAGCCTCTGTTTAACGCAACAGTAAAATGTGTACTTGGATGAAAAAACGATTCTTCGCGGCAGGGGATCGTATTCCAGGGACCATAGGATTAAGGACTTGCCCGAAACGCTACGCGTACTAGTGGCTGTACAAGAATGTAACAACTCTTGTATATATCTCAAAAAAAAAAAAAAGTAGCACGGGCTATGGTGAGCCCGTAGTGGACTTACTGGCACAGGAGCGATGCTGTGTGAAAAAGCGAGGTACCCCTATCAGTGTATATATTTTCCTGTGAGATGAAATGCCCGCGGGTTATTAAGGCCGTGCCACTAGCTTAATTACCTTACGGGCTATTCATGCCCGTGCCACCTCTTGGGTGACTTAATCATCAGCTTAATTAATTACTGATCCCTCCATCGTCGTCGACCCTCAGTCAACAACTATTACCTTATTACTGACATACAAAATACTAAAATAAGTTTATTATTATAACCCTGAATTGCTATTTAATTTAAAGAAACAAGTTAATTATTTAACCCCGAACATAGTCTGTGACTATGAATAAACATTTGATTTGATTGACTAAGGTAAACTGAGCGTATATACAGCGAGAAGCGTGGTACACCAGGGTACGCCGTGGTACACCGGGATACACCGTTGTACACCGGGATACACCGTTGTACACCGTGGTACACCGTTGTACACCGTGGTACACCGGGGTACACCCGCCCGAGTATCCCAGTCAGGTGACTGTGGAAGCTGAAGCTGGTTATCCTTAGCTTTTTTGTTGTAGATGCTCTACCTCAGTTTTCAACGAGAATGTTGTCCTCGCTTTCATAACATCTTTCCTGTGATTTCCTATATTGTATTAATTGTAAATTCTTTTCCTTTGCACAAAACTGAACTTCGTTATATTTGTATTTACAATTTATGTAAGTTGAAAAGTTGTACTGTTTACAGATTCTTTTCACCCTTTAAAGCGCAAAATAGCCCAGATCAACCTATATAGATGAATTATGTTACATCAGCAACAATAAAATACGGCTTTAAAAGGCCAATTAACAAATGATACAATAATAAAACATTATAATTCTGAAATTAAACAAATGTCTTTCCACTAGCCTCACACCCTCGTGCAGCCGGCCAGCGTACGATAACATCCCTCTAATACCATACAACACCTTCACCACACACCCATACAAACACTTCCCCCATATACACCTACATACCCGCAAACATTTCTTTAAACGTATTTACATAACAAGATGCTATAAAAGGCCAGGAAAAGCCGTAAAGAATTAAGCTAACTGGTATCGGAGGCATGACGTCATGTTTGGTGGTAGTGAGCGGCCATATTGTAACGAGGGAGACTGTAGTGGCTGGTTTAAGATATTAAACCCCTCGATTACCCGGCATCCAGTCACCCCTGGTGCTTGACCAGCAGCAACGCAAACTTTAAACTATATAACAATGGATGACAAAACACAAATGAAGGAGTTAGACCAATGGATAGACCAGCTGATGGAGTGTAAACAGTTGGCGGAGAATCAAGTGAAAACACTATGTGAGAAGGTAAGACCGGGATGGTTTTTTTTTTTGGCTATTTCCAGGGTATTTTTTTTGTTTTTTTGAGGGAAGTTTGTTGGCGTTCGTGGGCGTGAGGCCCTGGCGCCTGCAGGCAGCCAGGCAGGCTTTAGGCTATAGAGCGAGGACGACTGTGGGAGGGGAAGGGACTGGTGGGAGAAGCCTGGCTGGGCTTGGCCACGGCCGCCTGTCAAATTAAATCCACTACACTAGTCCTCTCCCACGCTACACTAGGCCCACCTCTTCTCCCACGCTACACTAGGACCCCTCTCCACCTCTCACACTACACTAGTCCGTCCCCCCCCCACCTTCTCCCACCCACCCCTCCCACGCTACACTGGTCCCCTCCCCACCTCTCCCATGCTAAACTAGTCCTCCCCCCACCACCTCTCCTACGCTACACTAGTCCCACCTCTTCTCCCACACTACACTAGTCCCCCCCCTCCCCACCTCTCCCATGCAACACTAGTCCTACCTCTTCTCCCATTACACTAGTCCCTTCCTCTCATGCACCACTGGTCCCCTCCCCATCACTTTTAATGTGACAATGGCATGAGCAATATCCAACAATTGAGGGTTTAATAATATTGCACATCAGTTGAAATTTTGTTAGATTCCTTCATTCAGAATTATGGAGAAGGAACATGGCAATCAGACTCTAGAATTGATCCTTTGAAGTATGATTATGATATACTGTATACGAAGAAAACTACCTTTCCACTTCTGACACTAGAAATGTACCAGTATATTCTGCTTGCTAGAACTTTATTAAAATATATTCACTTTGTTTCATAAGAACTTTCCCACTGGGCACAATATCAGTGGTGTTGGTTCAGTATTGATGACATGCATTCGGATGATTTGAGTGCAGTATCAAGCAACTGCTGGAGTTGTAGTATTCATGAGGTCAAACCCTCAACCACTTGGGCTGGATGGTAGAACCACGGTCACTCTTCCTGCAGGTTGGGGTTCAATTCCCGACTGTCCAAGTGGTTGAGCACCATTCCTTCCTGTCTCATTCTAAATCCTTATCCTTTCTATGCGCTATATAGTCATAATGGCTAAGTGCTTTCTCCTGATAATTATCAATGTCAAATTTTATCGGATGATTCTGCATTGCTCTTGGATATTGTGCTCACTGGGTTTGGGTATGTATAACTTAGATGCTGTCTATCCCATATCACTTTAAATAGTGAGTGATCTATGTACATTATTTAGTTATCCTGAATAATACATTTTTCCAAATATCTCATTTGAGGATTAATATAAAAGGTCGATCTTTTATGATACTGGTGACCAGGGAAATGTGCAGTGCCCAATGCGCCAGCATGTTGATACAGTGTGCAGGCTAAATTTGTAACTGCCATTAGTCATAATATATAGGTATAGAGATATTTGTTAGTTTAATTAACCAATTAAGTTTAATAAGGGTTGAGCATATACCCGTACTGCAATTTAATAAATTTGTCTGTTCCTACTGTATCTTTTCATATTGTATCAAAGGGTGCCTAAGTAACGCCTAAGTTAACTAAGTAACAATACAGTAATTATTTTGTATGAATACTTCTCCATTTTATATATACTGTACATGCATACACTGTATATGTATACTATTAGTAGTTGCTTTTAAAACAATTATTTTTCAGGCTAAAGAAGTTCTGGCAAAGGAGAGCAACGTTCAGGAAGTAAAGTCTCCTGTCACAGTTTGTGGAGATGTTCACGGACAGTTCCATGATCTTATGGAACTATTCAAGATTGGAGGACGGTCTCCAGACACAAATTACCTCTTCATGGGAGATTATGTTGATAGAGGCTATTATTCTGTAGAGACTGTTACATTGTTAGTTTGTTTAAAGGTAAGAAATTGCAATTTTATTATTTTTAATTGCACCATATGTAGTTACTGGAAACCACAGTGTATATAAGAATAATCAAATCCACTTGTTAGTAAATATTGCATATATGTGGGAGTCAGAGAGCAAGACTTCTGCATTTTGGAGGTAACCTCTAATAACTCTATTCTTATCCTTCCTTCCGATAAAGGTATATATATTGCATTTTTATTCTTATCTGACTAAAGTGATAGGCAGGGCTGTGGCTGTCTATCCTTCTAGATAATGGCCTAAATTTAATTATATAAAGGATCACTCAAGTCCATTGAAAAACTTACTTCTGTGGAAAAAATCACTTGGTTTATACTGAATAGGGAAGTGTATACATCTGAATGTTTATATGGTTAACCTATGTGTAGTTACAGGATGAGTGTGCTATGCTCATGGTGTCCCATCTTCCCAGCACTTTGTCATGTGATGCTTTTGGCCTTCCACTTTCTCACTTGTTCTGTCTACCACTCTGCAAAAGAAAACTAATAATTTTTTGGCACCTTTGTTTCCTTAGCTTGAATCTACAACCTTTTGTTCTTGAGGTTGCTGGTTTTAGGAATTCCTCTTTGTTGAGTTGGTAGATCCCTGCTATTATCTTGTAAGTGATCATATTGCATTTTTTCTTGTGTCTTCTAGTTATGGCATATTTAATGCCTCTAACCTCTCTTCTAATTCTTGTTTTACAGTTCTGGAAGCCATATTATAGCATGCTTTTACACGTTTTCTGGTTTATTGATTTGCTTCTTGAGATAGGGCATCAAATTCTGCTGCATATTTCAATTTTGGTCTCTTAAGTCATGAATAGTCTTTAGTATTTCACCATCCATGTAATTAAAAACAACTCTGAAGTTGGAAAATGCAGCATATGCTCCTTCCCAGACTGTTGTATTACATTAAACTTCAAAGAGGAATGTAGCTATTTGCATGAAAATGTTGAACAATGCAGTTGAACAATACAGGTAGGATGAGGATTAAGTGATATTCAGTATACATATGTATAAACAATGACATGCGACTTGATAATTGGTCCAGGATCAACTGAAGCATCGTAGTTTCTTCATTATATGGTGTGGTTTGGTCATCAATTTTAATTTCTAGATATGGGCAATTGATAGACAAAATTTAGTACATTTCATTGTTACAAGATGCAAAATTTAGTGAATATCTTGCTAACATGCTATTAATACCTTCATATACATTGAAGGTTATTGGTTTGACCTCCTTAATGTATTTGTTTATATAATTTTTTCAGGTGAGGTTTCGTGAACGGATTACAATCCTCCGTGGCAACCACGAATCCCGACAGATCACGCAAGTTTATGGTTTTTATGATGAATGCTTGCGAAAATACGGAAATGCAAATGTTTGGAAGTATTTTACGGATTTATTTGACTATCTTCCCTTAACGGCGTTAGTAGATAGTCAGATATTCTGCCTGCATGGTGGACTTTCACCATCTATAGACACACTTGACCACATAAGAGCACTTGACCGGTTGCAGGAAGTACCTCATGAGGTAAGTCCATCGGCAGTACACATAGTGTATTGGTGTGATATAGGACTGGAAATATTACCTTAGTCATCATAGAATTTGACTTTAGACTGCCATTTTCAATAAGTATTGTACTTTTGACTCCTAATTTTAGTGTATGAAATACATTTAAAAAACAAACTGTATCTACTAATACTACATTTGAAATTGAAATTTTAGTCTAACTAGTTATTAAAAGCTTGTTTTAAGTCGAGCAAACCTGTATTATGACTTCTTCTTCAGGGTCCAATGTGCGATCTTCTATGGTCTGATCCAGATGATCGTGGTGGTTGGGGTATTTCTCCACGAGGCGCTGGTTACACTTTTGGCCAAGATATATCGGAGACCTTTAATCACTCCAATGGTTTGACTTTGGTCTCGCGTGCACACCAACTGGTTATGGAGGGTTACAACTGGTGCCACGATAGAAACGTAGTCACAATCTTCTCCGCACCTAACTACTGTTATCGTTGTGGCAATCAAGCAGCTATTATGGAGCTTGACGACTCCTTGAAATATTCATTGTAAGTACTGCATAAAGTTAAATATTAATTTTTTGTAGCTTAATTTGAACATGATGGCAAACAGCCAAACATATTGAGAAATGGTATGCTACTACAAGCCCTGATGTGGAAGTGATCCAACAGGTGTGTAAGTATTTGGGATGGGTATAGCAATGAAGAATAAGATGTGGTAGTGAAATGGGCAAGGGAATGAAATCAAATGTGGAGTGAAAGGAATGTGTGTGCAGTAAAAGGAACATTAGATAGAGGAAGATGACTGATGATTTGTAATGTAGGAGTGCTTATCAGTGACTGGGGAAAGGTAAGTTAATTATGAGGAGAAAGCATTATGCCAGTATGGCTACACAGTACTTGGAAGGGAATATGACGACATGTATCTGCAATAGAATGGAGGTAAAGAGTGGTTGGTGCCCAACCACTTGGACCATTGGGGGGATTGAATGGTGACCTGAAAGAAGCGAGGCCTTTGTTGTACCAACCAGTCAAAGTGGTTGGGGATGGGGGGGGGGGAGAACTAGCTCTTTATGCCTTAATCTCTTCATGGGTTAATCTCTTTAGTGCATTCCACTTTCCTACTACCCATACAGGAAATGAGAACTTTCTTGCATCTCTACAACTCTTCCATATCCAGCTTGTTCAACCTCTCTAATTTAAATAGGCTTCCTTTATCCACTTTATTTCCCCTCAAATTCTTGAACATAATCATATACCCTGTTTCTTCTCTCTAAGGTTAAGGCCAAGGTCTCTCAATGGCCTTAGATGCCATGGAAGACAGACAAAATGTTGGTGTGATTTACAGATTTTGCTAAAGCCTTTGATAAATGTGACCATGGTGTTGTTGTGCACACAATGTGTTCAAAAGGAATTACCATAAAATAGGTAGATGGCTCTGCAATTTTCTGACTAACAGAACCCAATGTGTAATAGTCGACAAAATAAAATCCAAACCATCAACTGTGAAGAGCTCAATCTCTCAGGGTACTGTGCTTGCTCTGGTACTTTCTCATCCTCATATTGGACATAGACAAGGACACAATCTATAGTACTGTACAGTATCTTCCTTTGCAGATGACATTAGGTTTTTTGAGTAAACATACGACACAGCAAACCTCCAATCAGATGTAAATCAGGTCTTTCTATGGGCTACAGAAAATATGGTATTTAATGAAAAGTTCCAGCTCGTGCGCTACGGAGAAAGAAAACATAAAAACGGAAACCACATACAAAACGCAGTCAAATCATAACATACAACAAAAAAGCAATGTAAAGGATTTGGGTGTACTCGTATTGGAAGACCTTGCCTTTAAAGAATACAATAAAGTAGCCATCATAACTAAAAGAAAAATGACAGGTTGGATAACAAGAACCTTTCACACTAGAGATGCTATACCGATGATACTTTAAGACGCTAGTGCTCTCTAGAGTGGAATACTGTTGCACAATGACAGCCCCTTTCAAAGCCGAAGAAATTGCTGACCTGGAGAGTGTGCAGAGATTCTTTTCTGCTAGAATCCACTCTGTAAAACATCTAAACTACTGGGACCAACTAAAAGGCCTAAATCTGTGTTCTCAGGAGCCCAGGCGGGAGAGATGGATAATAATTTACAAGTGGAAAATATTAGAGGGGCTGGTCCCAAACCTGCACACAAATACCACACGAGACCAGAAGGCATGGCAGAATGTGCAGACTACCCCCATTGAAAAGCAGAGGTGAAATAGGTACTCTAAGCGAACTCTTATCAACATCAGAGGCCCGATGCTGTTCAACACGCTTCCACTACACATCGGTAGTTGGAAGCTCGCCCACTCATGCCACTGCTCACTGCTACCCACTGTCCCCTGACTGCCCTGCTATCCACCGGCTCTGTTGCCCTGCCACCCACCTCCTTAGTACACCAGCCACCACCTCCTTAGTACACCATCTGCCATCCACTTATTCTGCTGCTTGTATGCCCACCTATTATTCCCACTGCCTGCCCATCCACTCACTTTGCCGCCCACCCTGCTGCTCGTTCATCCATCCACTCGCTTGCTTTTTACACGATTCTACACATGGCCTTCCCGGTTTGGTGCCTTCTTTTTGATAATTACTTACTTTCACGATTCTAGAGCTGGGCCATCCATCCAGTCCCCCCCCCCCCATTGTCCGTCCATCCAGTTCCTCCCCACCGTCCATCCTGTTGTCCTCCCAAATAAAATATTCAAGCACGATCGCCACTAGGTGGGATAAACTGAGCACACCTTGTACTCGCTCCCAGCAGAACAAAATCTCCCACTCGTCGGCCTATACATGTATCGACAACTGAGGCAAACCTTGAATACCAAGTCAAATTTTTCGAAGAAATTGGGCTCAAAAATTTTTTAAGAGGGGCATTTGAAAACCAAGGTTCCCCTTTACACTAAGAATTTAACAAATATCCAACAAAGTTTAGAGAAGTCTAGTGGTGGTGTGCACTGAACGACAGCTATGATGAAACAACACATCAGGGATGTGTGTTTGAGTGACACACAAACGGATGACTACTGAACATAAACAGTGCTGAAATGTTTGAGTTGGGAGCTGTTAAGAGTACTGAGGTTCCTCTGTATAGGTGTGGATAGTTGGAACAGTTTGAGGGATTGTATTGATGCCAAAACCATCAATAGTTTGTCATGTGACAAGATTATATGGGGAAAATGGGATGCCATGAAAGTAGTTCTCATCCTTGTTCCTATCCCTCATCAATCTCTACACTTGGTTAATTAATTATACACTGAGCTAGAGGAAACTGTGATGAAGCCTTGTTTAATTTGTATTTTAATCTTTAAAATAATTTTAATTGTGCAATGTAAATAGATAAATCCTGAATTGCCTGCCTTCGTGCCATTCTTATTCCATGAAATTCACAAATTTTTCAACAGCAAATATTCATTCCCTGATTTGTCTTTGTATACTTGCAGCCTGCAGTTTGACCCAGCACCTAGGAGAGGGGAGCCTCATGTTACACGCCGAACACCAGACTATTTCCTGTAGATTATTGCTTTTGTTTTTCTTATTGCCGCCATCATGTTACTGCTGTGCCATGATGCAGTTATTGTTGGCTATTGCCACAAGGGTTTAGTTTGTATGCTCTTGTTTGACAAGTTAGTCAGTAATGATCATAATGACATTAATTAGCAGTGCTGTAGAAAATTTTATTTGAAGTTTTTCATGGGAAGGGGATTCATGAAGGCAGATTCAAGCGAATCCCTAGAATCTACCTTTTATGTGAATGAATCATTATTAAGTGGCAGAAATATACCAGGAATAACTATTTTTGGAGGAAACTGCAGGCACAGTTGCCATTACTGTTTAAGTAATGAATTTTTTTCACAAAGATAATTACTTCAATGTCCATTCTTTGATGTTCTCTATTCCATAATTCTGAGAAGTCGTATGGCTGCATTTCAGCCTGTGCAAAGGCTGTTGAGGTGGGGCATTGAATATTAGTGCATTTCATTATTTCCACATTTTTTCCTCCTTCATAAGACTGCAGGGTCTTTGTGTTTATCCCTTACATACTCATGAAAGTAGCTTTTATAAGGTAATCACAATAGTTTTTGCAACTGGTCATATATAGTATTAATAATATTGCTCGAAATATCATAAATACATATGTAGCCTTGCAGTGGATTTTAAGAGCGGATTTCTCAATACCTGTATGTTCATTGGGACACATGCCTTATCTTGAAAGTGCTTGAAAATTTGCATGCATTTTAAGTCTTAGGAGAGAAATTAACAATTACTGTATCAACCTTAATTTTGTAGTGCATTTTTGTTCTAGTTCACTAAAGATTGCAAAGCAAGGGGTAGAAATCTTAAGTCTTAAATACATGCATACAGTGAGTATGGTGGATCTGTCTCCCAAATTAGTCACCTAAACAGTCATAGGTCAACTTTTCTTGTCATGTTTTCCAGCCTATGCTTCCACTAAGCTTGTGCATTTCTAGGTTGATTTCCTGCCTCCTTAGTACTGCCATATAATTGGCCGATTGCTCTTAAGTTTTGTATTGCGATCTTCAATGTTGGTGGAGACATAGGTTTTGGAAACTATATATAATTGAGTACAGACCAATTTAATAGTCTAGTTTGTGTAATATGATATATCACAGAAATATTTTAAAAGTATTATGCAGGATTTATTGTATGTATAAATATTAAATTATAGGCTTCAGCAATTTGCCCTTCATGTCGAGTTCAACTGCATAAGGATTCGTATATATATATATATATTGTATACACATTATATATATTCTTTTTGCAAATATTTAGTATAAACCTCTTCTCTTTAGGACCAGAGAATTTTGTTTATTTTCTATTGTAGTAAGTAGACTGAGGTTAGATAAGAGCACAATTGTCAGGACATCTGCATAAATATCATATTTGCTAATTTATTAATTTCCTTGGTTTATATTGGTAATTGAATGTGTTGCCCAAGTCGATCAGTATGTCTGATAAATAGGTTGCAACTAACAGCTGAAAGTTCTCTGTACTGTCAGATATTGATTATTTGATACTGATTCCTTTGTTTCTGTTCACTTGTACGTTACCTTGCTTGTACAAGCCCCTTTTCCTGTGGTTTAATATTAAAATTATTGCCCACCCTGTGTTAGTAAAGTCACTTTAACCAACATACTCTGCCATGGAGGGATATAGCCTCATCGTAACGAGCAAGTCTGTAACTTGAGTAAACCGCATGGTTGTGTGTGAACAAATGTAACAAAGACTTAGTTCTACTTCAATAAAGTGAAAGAAACAAATTTCCTTTTTGTTTTTTTTAATACATATACAAAATTTTAAGATACAAATAACCTAGATGAAATTTAATGCAATTGAAATGTTTTGAGTAGGTTGTTTCAAGAGGAACATTGGTTTTGAGTTTCCTAATTTTAACACGCTTAAAATAAATTGGATGCAAGTTGCAATTCCATGTCATTAATATTATAAAAGCTCCTAGTGCAAGAAAGATGAATGCAAGTGACTGATAATGGGAATGATTTTTATTTTATAACTGCAGTACATATTGCCTACACAATGTGCCAGTCCAAATACAGTGCTTCAAGAGATGCAATATTAAATTAATATTTTTCAAACAAATTTAAGACCTTCAAACATCCTGGCCATACTAAAACAATTCATTTTAAATTACTGTATCTACTCGAAATTTTTTTTTTTTTTTAACATCTTTGACTAGACACGCGAGATGAAAGGATGCTTGTTTAAGCCCCTGCTTCCCAGCTATTGATGGAGCTGTAATGACAGTAATGTACATAAGCCAATTTAAAACTGAAAAAAATTGTCTCGAAAGACATTCCAATGAGTAAATTATACTTGAAAATACACTTGTGATGCAAACCAATGAGCAGTATAGGTCAGCCAAAACTGAAGATACAATAACGGTATCAACTCGCCAAAAATTAAATTATGAAAACGTGCAAGAGTAAAATACCTATATTAATTACAATTAAAATAAACATGTCAATGCAATAAAGAAAGAAAAAGAAAAAAAAAAAAAAACTGGGCAGTTTGACATGATATATATAACCACCTTCCACATCGCCTGTAATGATAAATAAAATGGAAAATAAACCCAATGAACATGAACCATTCGTTTTGACATGTGGCAAACTAATTTTTCATTTTCTATAGACAATAATACAAAGATGCCGCTAAAACATTAAGTTTTCACTGACTTCCCTCTGTTTTTCGTTTTTTGCTTGGAAATACTGGGCTTGATCTTCCATCACTACAGCCATTACTTCGAGCCATAGGTACCTTGAAGTCTTCATACTTATGTGTATTCCCTTTGTTGGTTCGAGGAGAACGCCATACAGATAAATCATCTCCCTCAATGTACATAGAATTACAACTCATTTGAACTGCCCTCTCACTACTTCGGTCTTTTTCTCCCTTTAGTTTAACAGTTTCTGACATTATCATCTTTCCTGAAATATCAATTTTGCTATTTCTATCCATAGCAATAAAAGTGCCATCACCAAGCTTAACATTTGTATTATTTCTAAATGATGGTGTATAAATACTTGTAGGAGCTAAATGTGTCTGACCATTATGATAAATTGAACTGGTATCTCTATTATTGTCTACATATCTATCATTAGGACCTGCAGCAAGACCATAAGCAGCAGACGTAGAGGCTTTCCCTACATGCCCAATGCTGGAATGCTGACTTTCATATTTTTCATTTGTTCGTGAAGGTGCTAAACCTAAAGAGTATGCAAATGATTCTGTTTGTTGCTGCTCTTGTCTAGCTTCTAGGAGTTGTTGTGTCATCAGCTGAGCCCAAAATGTTGGATCGTCTGTGAAATATAAGAAACAAAGTCAGTATAATTTAGTTTAATATTGTTTATCAACTTCAGGTCCAACCAAAGCTTTGCAAAAAAATGAACACAGTACCTTTATATGGTAAATAAATTATTAAATGAATTAGGTTAAATGACAAATTGTACAGACACTTTTACAATGCTGGAATCCTTTTAAATATTAACTTTGACAAGTTGATTTTTAAATAACACTTATCTTGATTCACTTATATCTTAATTATCATAATGTCTCCTCTGTGCATGGTCTCTAATTTAAGAGGCAAAGTTATTGAGTAACATTACAGACAAGTGGATAAGGGAAAAAAATAATTAACACTTGTACGCTGATGTCATAAAATTAGGAGTTTTGTTCTTGTGATCTGCACTAAAACTGCACCAATCAGTATATAATTTCACAATGTATAGATATAAAAGTACACACAGGTGAATACAGTTCTAGCACCTGACAAAAGTATTGGAGTATGAGCAAAAATATTGGTACACCTCTAAATTTTCACATCCAATAAATAAACAATATTTCCACGTACCAAGCACTTCGTTACTGGACATTTGTATTGTTAACATTGTACACGTCGGCCTAAATTTTCACCCATTTACCACCTAGAGTACAGCATTTACTATATTTGCCAACCCATCTTTCTGCTGAGATAGCACACTACTTTTTATAACTTTATGGACCATTGTATATATACTGTATTGATGTAATGCACAAATAGTAGAATTTGGTACTACTGTATTTGCTTTATAGTTCAGAAAAAATAAAGCTAAAAGCCAAACTTAAATATTCCTAGGCCTAGTATAGCACATATGTACTATAATAGGCCTAGGATGGTTAGATTTGGTTTTAGTAGCAACATAAATACAAAACCTTTTTCAGTTTGTCTAAATTCAATAGTACCAAATTCTTTCTAATTGTCCATTATGTCAATATATATACGAAGGTTCATATCATTCCTACATACAAATACTATCTAAACAGGAGGATGGGCTGGTATTTACTGATCAATCGGGGACCCATTAACTTTTCAGGGAAATTCTTAGGGGAAAATGTGCATTCAGACTATGAACACTGATACCAGTTGTTCCACAAGCTACACTACCAGTAGCTCAATAAAGTATGGTATATAAAATACTAAAATAAATACCTATAGTTTTAGACATTTGACTCACACAACTTGTCCAACTTTATATTATATTCATATAACATATGTAACTGCTTGTGAATTTCATATTTTCCTTTGCCTGTGACTTCAGTTTCTTTGAAAATCTCAGTACAGATATTTTGAATTGCCTAGTATGGTTATACGTATTGTTCTTTTCTTGTACAAGCTCTGGCATCTACCAGTCAAATCCCAGTTCCTACTTTGGAATCCATTCAGATGCTAAGTTCAGTAAAGTCAAATACTGTATATAAATATTTTGTATAAAACAACCTTTAGGTTATGAATTAGAAGGAAACCAGACCATAGGCCAAATCATCATTTACCTTATCAATTTATTTATCTTGTGTTGACCAGTTGATTTCATCAGTGACAAGGATAAGTTTTCCCATTAAGGTACGTCTTATTAAGTACAATACTGTATATACCCGCCAAACACACACCAAAACTACGATATTGGTACAACGTTTGAACAAGTTTTAACACCTCCTAACCAGTCATAACAACGTTCTAATACGTCATAAACACGTTAAGCCAAGATGTAACAACTTTATTACAAATTGTAACAAGCGGAAAATAGAGATAGTTTCGGTTTGTGTTTCCACGGTAAGGTTTAGATTGCATTTACTATTTGTGCTTGCAGAATTGAGCTATTAGCTCTAGGATGTGATTATTTGTGTCTTGATTTGTACCCCCAAAGGCAGATTCAACATTCCCATACAGATTGTAACTATCTCTTGTACTTTTATTTACTAAGAACAGGAAAAATAAACCTGTACTCTTACAGGGTTCCATCTTGGGAAAAGCATTATCACAGGCAGCAATTCTTAACCCTTTTTCCTATTTGAACCCCTCCTTTCAAACTCCAAAGCTATTCTCTCACCCCTTCCCCCGAATTGACCAATGACAAATTTGTAACATAATATAGCAATTTTATGTTGTAGTTCTTTATGCCATTCAACTAAGATGAGCCACATTTTATCACAGCATTCGTCACCTTTCTAAGAAAGTGGTTTTGCACCCCCAGTTAGGAACATCTGTGATCTACGCAATTTTGGTAAATCTAATCAGGCTTCCTGTCCTGACAAAGGGAAACCCCCAAATACTATTCTGATACTGTAAGCCTGTATGGAGAAATGTTTAACCTTTTCAGTGTAGCACTTCAATGTTGGGCCCATACTTTTCTTTGCGCAATATGGGACTAAATAACTTGTTTTATTTTTACAATTTATAAAAAAAAAAATCTTGGAAAAAATATTAATCTTTATTTTTCTAACATTCTCCATGCATTTCTGCATTCCCACATCTGACTTGAGGTATTCAGGAAACAAGCCGAGCCAAAAGTAGTGTGTTCTTCGGGTCTTAATTTATCTGAGGTCAAAGTGAACATATTTTACAGCTTAAGAAATCTTTCCAATAATGTGCTTTGGAAAGACTTATTTTAACCACTGGTATTATTTTGCAGTAAATTACTGTATATTGTCATGTTACTCATCAATGTCTGATGCAAGGTATGGTAGTTATTCCATACAACCTGTGAATAACACAATGCACACTTACTACTGGCAAAGCAAGCCATAAAATGTCTCACTATAAACACACTAATGGAATTATCAATTATCAAAATAGATTTTACTAATGTGTTAGGTGGCAATTGCAGTAAAAATTTTATGTAATAAACCTTTTTCTGGGGGGAGCCCCTGGGGATAGCTCCTTGAAGCTATCCAAACTGATATGTGCTTTTATTAGTTTGGGGTCATCAGTCCCATGGAGTTCTTAGCCTACCGGGAACCTCGAGCTAGAACCTGGCCCCTTCAGAGAGGCGCATGGAACAATGGCGTATGAGCACTCTACATGAAAAGTATTGTCATATTCTGCCATTTTCTTTGTTGTCCTGTTTTTGGCGGAGGTGGTCTGCTTAGCGGCTTATTAGGTTAGCCTAGGTTGTGTTGGCTCTCCTTCTCCTCTGATGTCTCCAAGGTTCCACCACTGCTACTGGTAGTCGGTTTGCCTCCTTTCAAGCAAGGGGTCTACCGACTTAGCGGGCCAAAGTGCCTGGGCTTCCCGTAGGACTAACGTACCCTGCGGGCCCTGGTAAACCCTTGTGGTGGATCTGTCCAAATCCACTCGTCTTGTGAGATGTTGACAGTTGTTCAGCGCCCCTGCCTTGGGGCGACGATCGCCTTTTCTGCCTCCACCATGCTGCCTGTTGGGTCGGTGACACCTTCGACCCGGAGTCTTGCGTGACTTGTTCACTTGTATTCAAGTTCACACATTTCTCATCTGTGGATGAGAGGTTTCAGGCTGTGATGCAAGCTCACTTCTCTTCCTTGCAATGAACCAGGTTAGATGCCTGTTTGGAGACCCCTGGGGCTACCCCATTTGGGTTTTATGAACCAGGATTTGGGGGCATTGGTCGCTTTGACCTTGGTTCCGTCTGCACCCCCGCTTCCCTCCCAGGTGGGTGTGGTTTGCCCTCCTCCTTCCCCCATTTCCAGCTCCAAAACGTCTGAAGGTTGTGGGGTTTAGATTACCTGGTTGATGGGGTTCTGGGAGTTCTTCTACTCCCCAAGCCCGGCCCGAGGCCAGGCTTGACTTGTGAGAGTTTGGTCCACTAGGCTGTTGCTTGGAGCGGCCCGCAGGCCCACATACCCACCACAGCCCGGTTGGTCCGGCACTCCTTGGAGGAATAAATCTAGTTTCCTCATGAAGATGTCCACAGTTGTTCCGGCAATATTTCTTATGCTTGCTGGGAGGACGTTGAACAACCGATTTGAGATGAATCTCGGGTGGCTTCGGCGGTTGCCCCTTCCAATTCGGGTGCAGAGGTAGTTTCAGTTTATCCCAGCCGCCTTCCTTCTCGGAAACTTTTCCTTTGGACTCTTGCCTTCTTCTGGGGTGGTGGGGATGGAAGAGCGCTCGGTCCCAGGGCCGCTGTCAGGGGTTCCTGGGGCTCGGGGGACAGTCTGCTTGGAGTGCTTGGGCTACTTTTGCCCTGCTTGGGTCCTTGTGCCTTCTGGGTAGGGTTTGTTGCTACAGGGGAGGGGTTTTTTGTATCCCCTGTTCCTGTATGAGTTTGAATTAGGTGCGACTCTTCCCCGGGTTCGTTTCTAGGGGCTTTTGGGTTCCCTGGATTCGTCCTTCCAGGTTCCGTGTCAGTGGATGCTCTTTGGGTGGATTTGGTTTCCCTGGCTCCCTATTCCAATGCTCGTGTGTCCAGGTTTTCCACAGTGTCATAAAATCTAGCCAGCCTGTGGTCGACCCTCGTGACCATGTGTGTAAGTACGCTACACTTGGTGCATTGTTAGGTAACATGTCTTGGGTTGACAGCAGGGCACGAGGGTTTTGGAGATCGAACAGAGTCGTGGCTGCCAGGTACCTCGTGAACGTTCTGGGGCCTTCACGGTTGTGTCACTTTGGGGCGCTTATCACGGCTGTTGGTGCCTCCTTCGCCTTGAGACATGCAGTGTTGCCGCCTCCCGGGTAAGGCTCCCTGACAGCCCCTCCCTCCAGCTGGTGTTTTTTCTATCAGGACTCTGAGGGGATAATTTGTGTATCTTTTTTCTTTGTGAGGAGTTCTTCGCTTTTTTCAGGTGGTAGATTACATTTTACCAGCTAGTTATTTGTTTTGGATCACCTGTTTTGCCCCTGTCGATGTCGGAATATGACAATACAGTACTTTACATGTAGTGCTCATATGCCATTGCTCCCTGCACCTCTCTGAGGGGGCCAGGTTCTGGCTCGTGGTTCCCAGTAGGCTAAGAACTCCAAGTGACTGATGACTACAAACTAATAAAGCACATATCAGTTCGGATAGCTTAAGGGAGCCTCCGAGGCTACCCCCAGAAAAGGGTGTTTCATTACATTCAACACTGGCTTTTTATTTTAATCTAGCATTGCCAGCAATATCTGTACTAAAAATAGGTACTCTCTCTAAATGATGACATAATTCTCCTGTGTTCCTTTAAGGCATTTCAGATTTTGAATCTATACTGACAGCCATGTAATATACAAATGAAATTAAACCATTGTAATGATGAACAATATTATACACTAACCTTCTCCAACCATATCCCCTCCATCGTCCCACAAGCTTGCTTCTGATGTTTCTGGCTTGTTCAGTACAATCAAATTAGCAGAATTTCCAGGCAGATTTCTATTTTTCATTTTCATCTTGAATGCCTGTTGCTTTTCTCTCTGTCTTCTTTTCCTTTCTTGCTTATTTTCATCAAATTTGTGTTTAGGGGATTTAGTCATTGGTGATATGACAATCATTTCCTTAGTAAAACCAATAAAAGAGTTTGGTGAATTTTCCCGTTCTTCTGTTACTTCTGCAAGTTCCATCTTCCGATGAGAATTATTAACACATTCTGACATACTGAGGTTGTTGGACTCTACCGGTATTTCAATAGGTGCATCGACTGCTCCAGGTATCAAGGTGTCTTTTTCATGTGAATTTAACCCTTCCACATTTGGTTCACTTAAGGATGAGATGCTGTTCTCCATAATAATTGATTTTTTATTTGGAACCAAGGGGGATAATGTTCTCTCTACAGTACTTGACTTATTTCGGAACACTGTTACTGAATGTTCAGTATGCTTATTAGATAAAGTTTGATCAACACAAACACTTGAAGTTTTGACCAAAGGTATACTTTTATTTATTAATGGGAAACTCTTATTTAAAACAGAAGGGGACTTGGCATCTTGTTCCAAAGGTAAACTTTGATTGTGTGCTGATTGAGCCAATTCTGTATTAGTTGAATTTTCAGTTCTTTCAAGTTTCACAAATGGTGTCATATTATTGGTATTTCTGTTTTTTGAAGGTATCTCAGAATTCGTTACTGGTAATCTTGTGTTGCTAATATTTTCATCAGTGCCTGATACTTCTGCATGGTGGGAACTGATTCTGTCTTCTTCAGGGCTTGGAACATTCACGCTCGTAACTTGTTCTCTTGATGCTTTTGCATGCACACGACTTTTCTGAAAGAGAAATGCTACAACTTAAATTTGCCATTAATAAAATGACTGCTATATGAATACAGTATACTGTAACTTGATAAAACCTAGAAAAGCTATCGACATTTATCAGTATTAGATACAAGAGAATCATTAATTTTTATGCCAAATGTTTGTACCAGTTTAATAATTAAGTACATCTGGTAGGGATACTGTACCTTTTCAATTTGTTATTTTTGTTATTATGAATATTGTTATTTTAGGACCCCTTTAAAAATCACTGATGAAATAGGGGAAATCTTGAGCGATAAATGTTTTGAAAACAACTAAGCACAGCTGCATCAAAATTTATACAACCGAAAGAAAATGCGAGCAGTGATTATAGGATATCTATTAACCTGGAGAAATGTCACTAGCAGAGTAGTGACATTTCTAGTTCAGTTCTAACACTAGTAATATAAATTGTGAAAATCAGTAGAAGCCATGAGTAGGATTCAAAGCTAAGCTCTGGAAACACCCAAGCACACCCCTTAGACCACTACACCACGACATGATAAAAAACAATGCAATCTGGGATTCAGCTGAATCCTCTAGGGGTCCTGAGGCTTCAATTGAAGCCAAGTCAGAGATTTCCCATACTGACTCCCATGCACCTTAGGTGAAGTCTAGGAATACACCTCCAACACTTCTCTTGAAATGCACAAAGAAATCACATTAACATGATATCAATGAGAATTTCAGTAGGAGCCATGATACATCACAGCTTATGTCCATATACTATGGGTGGAGTGTTTTCAGGGCTAACTTGAAAGTTTACCCTGTTCTCTGGTTAGGTGTCCAAGTACATGTTGGGCTTGCTGGGTCCCTGAAGTGTGCTATGACTCTCCAAGTTTACTGCTCGATTTTCCTGGTGCATACCTCAGTTCTTGAAGTGTGTACCCAGAGGATGTGCCCTGGTTCTTTGGCTGGTTCTCTGGTCTTGTGCCCCAGTTCCAAGGTGTTGTACCCTGGGGTGTTTTCAGGCTTCCCTGGGAGGTTTGTTGGTTTCCCAAGAATGTATGCTAAATTCTCCAAGGAAACCCATTTTTCAATTGGCTGCTTGGATCTCCATGTTGGGCCTCTCTCTCTGTGTGCCTGGAGTTTCCCAGGCCTTCAAGGACATTTCCCAGTTCACTGCAGGTGCTTCCTGGTTTCTTTGGGGCATCTCCAGTTTTCAAAGTGCATATTCAAGTGTGTTTTGCTGGCTTTCATTAATATGGCCATACCCATTTCCCCAGACAATTTGCTTTGTTACCTGGCTGTATTTTCAGGGTTGCCTGATGGTTTCCCTGGTTTAAGGTTGGATATTTAAAATTTTTTGGTGGGTTGATCACTTTTCTAAGTAACTGTCCCCTTTTATTCAATTCACCAGTGCCTCAGTTACCTGGTTTTCAGGGAAGCTCCATGGCGAGTCCATGGCAAGTTGCTCTGGTACTGAATTCGCTTGTGCCGTGGTCAGTGGCTTTGAGTACTCTTTCAGGGCCTCCAGCTGCTGGTTCACTGGGGTAGGGTTCAAGCAAATCTTGATTGGTATCTTGTGGCTGGGTCCCTTCCATGGTCTACGGTGAATGATTTTTTTTTTTACTTTTTTGTATTTTTTTTTGTCTCGAGGTGAGAAAACTGAAAAAGAATATACACATTTTACTGCTCTTGCATGCTCACGGCTAACTCTCGGCCGATTTATGGGTATGGTGTGTGTGGCACGCCAGGCTTTTGGATCTTATATGCATATACCCCTGTAGGGAATTCTATTGCGAACACTATGATACCAAAATGAATGACGTAACACGAAAATTGAGGTGATAAAACTGAGAAGAGTACTGTACAGTATACACATTTTAGTCTGGCCGCGCACTGACGAGAAATGCCTGGCGCACACTAAGGTAGGCTGGGGCGCGCACCCCGGGGACGCGAAAGTGTAAATTTCCTCAGTACATTTACATATTTGATTTTTATTTTCACCCTACTTTAGCTATGGATGATTGGAATAAATCCAGAAGGTTGTGTGTGCTAAACTGAAGGCTTTAAAATTATCATAAAATATCTATGAAACACAGGACATTATGAGCAAATCTCTGTACCTTTAACCAAAAAACTTGGTAACTGCACACTCTCACATACAGTATATTCAAACATATTCCCATTTATACTGATCACTTCTCTCTCATTTGAACATGATATATTATTTTTCAAATGTACTTATTTTTGTGTAGACAAATTTATTCCCCCCTTTATTTCTATAAAGTAATACAAAAATATTTTGTATTACCATTTGTATTTTAACAATTTCGTGTAAACAGAGGGATCTGCTGTATATGAATTATATATATAATATAATATATATAGCAGGAGACTCGACAACAGCGAGGCACTAACATCAAAAAAGTCAACACCAGCAATCAACAGCCAATTAACGCATAACTATATTTTCCCCACTTCAAGACCCCGAACCAACATAGAAACAGCAAGAGAAAATATGGGCCAATAGGCCTTCTGTAGTTACTTACATTCTTATGTTTTCATACCCAATTTATACCCACCTCACCCAAAACATTTGTCATATCACCTCACCCAAAATGCATATAAGCATGATATTTGTTATGTGTAGACCAGTCTTTGAGAATATAAGAAGCCCTTATGAAACGCTTTTTTGGCGTCAGACCAAAAATAAAAATGTAAGAAATGAATTTTGGAGAGTTAATTTTTCAATTACCCTCGGCAGTGAAGAAAAATGTAAGAAATATTGAGAAGATTCATGTCAGAATTATTAATCTTACCCTTTCGGTCATATTCAACAACAAATGAATTATATACAGTATATAAACAGTAATTTTTTAGGTCAATCCTTGAAAATTCAGCACCCCTGCATTTTTAAAACAAGTTTTTAGGAACATTAGATTGCTTCAACCAGCAAACTCATACCTGTCTCTGAGCTCGGCCTTCTTCGGTGACTCTTCTGCGAATCTGTGCAAGGCCCGTGTTGACATCTTGATGAAGCAAATCACTAGAACTGATATTTGGTGCTGGGGAGGCTGGCACTTTGCCAATAAAACGAAGGTAATCCTTGCTACTGAGGCAGTTTCCAAGGGCATTTCCAAAACTTTTCAGTGCTCGCTTTAATCCATCAGTGACCGCTTCCTGTTGGAGTCAAATCAAAATCTATAAGATTATTGTAGATTTACATACAGAGTGGGGATTAAGGATAAATACAGTAAGACTGATCTCCTAATAACACAACAACCATCTCACATTGTGTTGCCATACACAGTAATGTATATATATATATATGGCTGCCAGTTAGATCTATTTAATACAAAAACATTGAAAATTCTTTGATTTAAGGGTGAAATGTCTTCTTTACCCCTTCAACTTTACATCACAATCATGGATGTGATCACCATTATTCCTTAAACTGCTTCTCACTATCAGAGCTGCATTAAAGTACCATTTAAGATTGAACTTCCATTTGTTTTGTATTTTTCATTTATGTCTCAATAATGGAGCAGCCTACTCGACAAACACTGAACGAACCTTTATGGCATTTGTCCATTTTTCAAATTGTTTCAATTGTTTTTTACTTAAGAAACATGGAGCAGCCAACCTGCTGAACACCGAACGAACCTTTTTGACATTTGTTGTTTTTCAAAAAATTTCATTTCTTTTTTCTACATAAAAGTCAATGCTTTGCACCATCACAGCAGTCACCCCTTTATATCCCAGCATCATTAGCATCTTTTAAAAAAAAAAAAAAAAAAAAAAATTATTTGCATCATCAGAGGCATCGGAGAATGTGCGAGAAGCAGCGCAACCCCACCAAGTGGTGTTGTTGTTATTCAAACAAGCGCTCACCATACGAGACGAATTGTCGGCGATCTGTGTGCTCGTTACCCAAAATGCTCGCCAACTTAGGCGGTCTAATTGTATAAATACATTGTATAAATAAGTGTAATACAATCTATAGTAATTCACTTTTTTCTTCACCTTGAAATTATGCATAAAGTATGTTTTGTTTATTATATGTTTATTATATTATTTGCAAAATATTTGCAAAAAAATATTTACGACATGAACAAAAGATGGTAAATTTATATTGTTAATGTGTGCAAAATACAACTGGAAGCAGTGTAGTAAACACTAACCTTTCGAGCTTTCTCTACTGATAAAGCCTTGCTCTTCATTCCTTCAGAAACACCATAGCCAATATCTTCATGGTAAACTCCATCTTTTAGCTGCACTCGAACTCTAGAACTAACTCCAACATAATACCTACCATTGTAGTGGTCAACAAAATCTGTAGCAAAAAAAATACAAGTGCAGATAATAAATCTTGTTATAAAAATTACCAACTCTCTTTAAGTCACACTCCCCACAATACTGTAAAGTAAATTAACACTGTAACTACTAGATGAAAAATAAAGAGAAAAGAGACAAGACAAACCAATCTATCACACAATTTACTACGTGCCTTATTGAGGGAATCAAGTGGCATAGCTCAGAAATCAGGCTTTGAGTACAAGCAATTTTCTGAGGAAGTCGCTAAATTGGTCAAAAGTTTCTACATTGGTACCTTGGTTTATGACTGCCCTAGATTACAATTTTTTGGTATACAACATCAAATTACTTGTAGAATTTGACTTAGTTTATAATGTTTGCCTTGGAATACGACGCCTGTTGATATTGTACGAGGAACCCAAAGGCACACGGAAATGAACCCAAGGGGGAGCCGCCCCCAACTCAAATTCATACAGGGAAGGTGGATATCAAAACCCCTGCCCAGAAGGCATAAGGGCCCAAGCAGGGTCAAAAGAACCTATGCGCTCCATGCGGATTTCCCCGAGCCCCAGAAACCCCAAACACAGGCCTTGGGTCGGAGCCCTCATCCACCCCCACCACCCCTGAAGAAAAGGCAGAGTCCAGGGAAAAGCTTCAAAGAAGGGAGTCTTCTGGGTCAACCCAGAAGCCTCGGCGGAAAAATCGGGCTCAACCACCTCCACAGCCGAATCGGAAGGGGCAATCCTCAAAGTCACCCAAGCCTCATCCCGAGCTAAACCCAGCCCCAACTCCGAAACCCTCAGATGTTTGGGAGCCAGAAGCTGGGGGTAGGGAGGAGGAGCAGGGCGAACCACACCCACTTGGGAAGGAAGTGAGGGCACAGACGGAACCATGGTTGAAATGACCAACTCCCCCAAATCCTGGTCCCTAAAACCCAAGCGGAGCAGCTCTGTAGCTTCTAAATGGGCGACCAACCTGGCTTGTTGCAACAATGAAAACCTAGTATGCAATGCAGCTGCCACTTGACCCTGAGATCTTCAGATAAAGAATGGGTAAACTGGAGCACAAGTGGAGAACAAATCCCGAAAGACTCCGGGATTTGTAAGAATCGTAGGTGTCACCGACCCAACAAGCAGTATGATGGAGGCAGTACAGATGATCGTCACCCTGAGGCAGGAGCAACGAACAACCTTCAACCTCGCACAAGGTGTGAGAGGACACACTCATGGTAATCCCGAACCCAATAGGGATTTCCAGGGCCCGGAGGAGGGAGTAAGCCCCCCACCGGGCCCTGGAAAGGGAGAAACCCAGGCACTAGGCTAGCTAAGTCGGTTGAACCCTGTCTACTAGCAGGCAAACTGACCAACAGTAGCAGTCGTGAAACCTCAAGGGCACCAGAGGACTACCAACACAACCTAGGTGGACCTAATGAGAAGCTAGGCAGACCCCTTAAAAAAAAAAAATGCTAGAATGTAAAAACAAAACAAAAAAACAAACAAACTGGCAGCCAGAGAGAATCTTTGGCCGCTGCAGGTGCAAGCTGCGCCGGCCACAGTGCACCACGCCCAGCAATAAATCACTCCCTACCTGGGAAGCAAGATGGAAAGGCCAAGACCCCTGACATACCCAAAGGCGAAGACAACTTCAAGCGATGAAGTACTCTAACGGAGAGCGAGTTCCGAACACCCCAGGGAAGCTAATGTCACGTGAATCCCCTGCATAGCAGTGGAATTGCCTTTTCCCTTCACCTTCAATGCCCCTGCACTGGAAGTATACATGTACACCAGCCCAGATGAGTCATCAGTCCTGCCTCTCCGTACCCCCCAGGGCCTGGCACGGCCTGGTACGACTCACAGGCAAGCCGGGCGCCACTGCTACCCGGTAGTTTGCCCCCACAAACAAGCAGTTAGCCGCCTTCAACTGACAGTGGTGCAACTCAACACAAAGGCACCGCCAGCCACACACGAGCAGTTTGCTAGTTGACCAGATGTCCACCATGCGTTGACACCAGATGGGTCATCACTACCAGACTATATAAGGGGCACCGCCTCCCTGGAGAGCCAGTCTCTCTCTCTCTCTCTCTCTCTCTCTTAGTGCTCTAGGAACACCTTAGCCTCCTGCAACGCCATCTGCCTTCAGCCAACATTGTATGCTGAATGCTGTGGTGGTATGGTAGTTGTCTTCAGCACCACCAGTATACTTTTGTGTTGTATTAATAGAGTTAAGCTTTCATTTACTTATTTTATTTGTTACATAATAATAGCCAAGTATTCCCAGGTGTCATTTTGTTCATTAGTATTTCAGTAAATGGCTTTAATTATTTATTTGATGATTTTCATTTGTTTTCACCTGCGACTTACACACTGCAAGGCCAATAGCAGCATTTTTTATTTACGTGAGGGAGAGCCATACCAACTTGGTTCAGTATAGCTGCGATACCACAACCCGTCACAATAACCTTGAAATGCAAGGGCAGCACTTACAGAGCACCTAGGGAAGATCACCCTAGGTGCATGCTACTCCATGTACAATAAGACACATGGCCACCACACTGTACACACTGCTGGTACAGCCACACAGGGCAAAATCCACAACAGGAACTTGAGTCCAGAGGTGACCTATATGACTGCCAGCACATACTGCATGTTCAAGAACTGAAGTGGTGGGCTGAAGCTCCCCCTCCCACCCCTGTATGGGGGAGGTAGTGCTAACGAACGGGAGTGCTAGTTGATGAAGTGTTGCTTGTTTGATTTATTTCTAAATTGCACAGGTTAACCAGACAGTGGTCTATTTTGATTCTCATACCGTTCCAAGTCCTTCCTGGGTTGATGGCAATTGTGACATACTTTAAATATAAAGTGCTCATAAGCAATTGCTCCCTGTGCCTCTCTGAGGGGGTCAGGTTTTGTCTTGTGGTCCACAGTAGGCATAAGAACTCCTGTGACTGATGACCCCAAACTAATATAGCACATATCAGTTCAGTTAGCTTCAGGAAGCCAATGGGGCTCCCCCACAGAAAAGTTGATAGTGTTCTTATGGTAGGATAATATGAACAAATGAACCCCAGTGCCAAGAGGAATGTACCTGTATATTATACAAGACATGTCTGGCTAAGAATACCAAACAAATGAGGTGTTGCACATACTGGTAGAAGTAAGGGATGAGAAACTGTTTCCTGAAATGAGTAGGTGGCAAGAGCAATAAATAATAAGAATACAAGACAACTCTGTGGATAAGTTAATGAGGGGAAATGTAAAAACACACTTTTAAATTTCTTACCAATTGTTTGATTTGTAACTGAATGACTCCAACCGTTAAAGCCAAAGATTTCATTAGCAAGGCTGACGAGTCGCCAACCTTCTATGTATGCAATCCTTTGGCCACTTGGTCCAGCCCTTTGACTGATGAATGAAGGGCCAAGCTTCTGCCGCAAAACATTTTGAATGGCTGTTTGCTCTTCTCCAGTGAATTGTATCTGCAATGAAAACAAACAAAATACATAGTTTAAATCAAATAATTATCATATTAAATTTTAGATGATTTTCTGTAGTGCATACAATAGCCTACAGTGCACATATTTTCTTGGTAAAATTGTTTATAACTTCACCACAATTTCCTATGAAATTCATTAAACATAGCTAGCTTTAATTACTGTATGGTAAATGCCAATCATGCATTGCTCATCTCTGGTCGCATCTAATTAGTATAGTAAAAAAAAACATTGTTGAATAAAATGAAATGCCATTTTCTGGGCGAGTCCCGGAGGCTCCCCGGAGCTATCCAGGCTGAACAGATATGTTTATCTTTCTGGCATCAGTCAATGCATAAAGTTCTTGCCTACCAAGGACCACGAGCCAGAACCTGGCCCCCTCTTGAAAGGCACGAGGAACAATGGCCTATAGAGACCCCCCCCCCTGTGGTTGGGAGCATTCTGTCTGCCATTGACCGGGACAGGCACCCAGAAAGGTAGGTGCCCCAAAACAAACCCCTATTCTGGTAAAAGTATTGCAACCGAAAGCTGAACAGGTGGACAGAACTCCCCCAAACGAAAATTAGCAAACTGGCATGATGTCATCATGTCGCCACGCCCCTGTCCGCACAACCCTCCCCCCCCTCTCCCCAGGAGGGGGGACCCCTGGAGGGGGAAGGGGGACCTGGGAGGGGGAAGGGGGTCCCTAGAGAGGGAAGGGGGAGCCCCAAACCCATCCGCTGGCGACCCAACCTACAGTTCTAAGGCTGGATGTCAAAAAGCGCAAAAAACACCGCCAACTGGAGGGAGGGAGGGATGCTGGGGAGCCCTGTCGTCGTCCCGGAGCTAACAACCCAAAAACAAGGAAAAACAGGGATTTACCCGGGAGGCGGTTCGTCCTCACTCCTCAACAAGAAGTCAAGACAACTGGCTGCAACCGCTGACTCAAGGCAACGCAGGCCTTATCTGGCCTGCCGGAATATTCACCAGGTAGCAAGCAGCCAGGACCTTGTTTGACCTCCAAAAACCCCGTGCCCGAATGTCAACCCAAGACATATTGCCAAAGACAGCAGCCAAAGCAGCAAACTTACGGACGTCGTGGCACGGGGATAAACTGCTGGCCACCGAAGTTGTGGCGCGCAAATAATGTCGGAGAACTGCAACCGGACACAACGCATGATGCACCCCTGGCTTGACCAACCAAGCATCAACAACCCAAGGCCCTCTCCGAAATGCAGCCGTTTCATTCTTCGCCAGAAAAGAAGGAGACGGCTGCAACTGAACAAAATGACCACCAGGACCGAAGGAGCAGAAACCAGTGAGCCGGAGGAGAGCATGAAGCTCCCCGACCCCCAGAGACCAAAGCCAACAGGAACAAGAGCTTTAGAAAAATAATCCCGAACGGAAGGGGCCACAACAAACCGAGAAGAGAAACGAGAGCATCCGGTCCAAAGACCAGGACAGCTCAGGGGGCACATGAGCCGGCCGGAGGTGAAACAATGCCCGAGACAGCTTGCGGAACAGGGCAGAAATAACATCAATACCGAAAGCAAGCTGAAGCAGCTCCGCTCGCGCCGCGAAGGAAAAAATAGAAGAAGCAGTAAAGGAAGTCAAACACTGCAGCAACCAAGATAAAACAAACATTAGGCTAGAAGTGAGGAAAGAATTGGCATCTAACCCGAAGTTGGTGCAAAACACAGTTGATCGGAGTAAGTCCCTGATCATTTTGGCTGCAAAGAAAAGGCGATAACATCTAGGTCAGAAAGAGCTGTAGAAGAAGCTAAAGTAGTAGATAAAATTGTTGGCCTCGTGGAAGGTCTTACAAACAGAGAGAATGTGTGCGACTACAGGAGAATAGGCAGGTACGTAAAAGGGAAAGATCGACCTTTGAGGATCACCCTAAACGGTGCCAAACAGATGGAAGAAGTACTAAGGAATGCTAGAAAATTGCAAAGGGATGAGGATGGGAAAGGGTGGTCGTTAAGACGAGATCTTTCAAAAGAAGATAGAGAGAAGCTGAAACTGAACCTCGCCGAGGCAAAACATTTAAATGAGAGCAGGAATGAAGAAGAAATAAATTCTTTTTTCTACAAAGTGATAGGGGTAGGCAAACCAGTAAAGTGGTACATAAAGGCAAACCAACAAAATCAATAGAGAGAGGGGGAGTGAAGAATAAGGAGAGGGGGAACAAGTTCCTGAAGATTGCATACACCAACATAGATGGAGTGAGATCGAAGATACTGGAGTTAAGTGATGTAATACAGCTGCAGACACCAGACATTGTTGCACTCACGGAGACAAAACTTGAAGATGTAATTTTAAATGAGGTCATATTCCCAAGGGGCTACTCAATTTGGAGACGGGACAGAAAAATTAGGAAAGGCGGTGGCGTTGCTGTGCTGGTAAAAGAACACCTAAAGGTGAAGGAAATAATGACTGCCAATCCACAAGAAGTTGACATAATAACACTAGAGATCTGCTATGAGGATGATAAACTAATGATGATAAATGCATATAGTCCACCGCCAAGCAGCACATGGTCAAAGGAGGAGCTAGATAGTAAACGTGAAGGTCTTATAACAATAATGAGAGAGATTATAGCGAGAGCGGATAACGATAGATCACGACTGTTGATAGTCGGTGACTTCAACTTGAAATCCATAGACTGGGAAGCATATGAAGCTAAAACAGAAGATTTTTGGACCTGTAAATTTGTAGACCTCATCCTGGAAACATTCTTGTATCAACATGTTAAACAAGCTACGAGGATGAGGGAAGGGGACGTTCCCTCCATGCTAGATTTGATATTTACCAGGAAGGAGGAAGAGATATTTGACATTCAGTACCTTCCTCCCTTGGGTAAAAGTGACCATGTCTTTTTGGGAATAAAGTATGCAATGCGTTATAAGCTGGAAGAAAATAAGGAGGTTGAAGCAGTTGAAAAACCAGACTTCAGGAGAGGACATTATGGTGACCTTAGAAATTTTTTTAGTGAGTATAATTGGACAGACTTGATGCTAGGCAAGGAAGTGAATGAGATGTATGGCAAGTTTTGTGAAATATATGATAAAGGCACAAAAAAATTTATACCAAAACAGAGATGCAGGACCAGAAAACAGGATTGGTTCGACAGAAATTGTGAGAGGGCAAGAGACCAAAAGACACAAAAATGGAATCAGTATAGGAAGAGGCCAAACCCCCAAACATACCAGCGATACAAAGATGCGAGAAACAATTATACAGCAGTAAGGAGAGAGGCAGAAAGAAATTTTGAAAAAGGGATAGCAGATAAATGTAAAACAGAACCGGGCCTATTCTACAAATTCATAAACAACAAATTGCAGGTAAAGGATAATATCCAGAGGTTGGAAATGGGAAACAGATTCACGGAAAATGAAAAGGAAATGTGTGAAACATTAAATGAAAAGTTCCAAAGTGTGTTTGTACAAAATGAAATCTTCAGAGAACCAGACACAATAAGAATTCCAGAGAACAACATAGAGCGGATAGAGGTGTCTAGAGATGAAGTGGAAAATATGCTAAAGGAGCTCGGGAGGAACAAAGCAGCTGGCCCAGATGGCGTTTCACCATGGGTTCTGAGAGAATGTGCATCTGAGCTCAGCATTCCACTTCACCTGATCTTTCAGGCATCCCTGTGTACAGGAATCGTAGCAGACGTGTGGAAACAGGCTAACATAGTTCCAATCTACAAAAGTGGCAGCAGGGAAGACCCCCTCAATTATAGACCTGTATCATTGACAAGTGTAATAGTGAAAGTATTGGAAAAGCTAATCAAAACTAAATGGGTAGAACACCTGGAGAGAAATGATATAATATCAGACAGACAGTATGGTTTTCGATCAGGAAGATCCTGTGTATCGAATTTACTCAGTTTCTATGATCGGGCCACAGAGATATTACAGGAAAGAGATGGCTGGGTTGACTGCATCTATCTGGACCTAAAAAAGGCTTTCGACAGAGTTCCACATAAGAGGTTGTTCTGGAAACTGGAAAATATTGGAGGGGTGACAGGTAAGCTTCTATCATGGATGAAAAATTTTCTGACTGATAGAAAAATACGATACGAAGGGACAGTATTTGGCACAAGATGACAGTCCTGGAACAACCAAGAGAGAAAGGACAGAACCACCCTATTAGAGACCGAAGGAAGTGATAGGAAGAATCAGAAGGACCATCAGGAAACTTCATACTGATGCCAAGACTAGGTATGCAGGTGGGAGACCAACAACAAAGCCGCCTGTGCACTATACAAGTGATGATTAACCCGAGTCAAAAACTCCAGATGCGAAGACTCGAGGAGAAGACTGAACCAGCCTCGTACCGGGCAGGACCTATCCGCTGAAAAAGGCGGAGCCACGGGAAGACCCTAGGGTTCAGACACCGAGCAAGCAGCGCCTGAAACCAAGGCTGGGCCAGCCACCAAAGAGCCAGAAGGACGAAGGCAAAGAGCCAACGTGAAGAGATCCACGTCCGGAGTCCCGAACGTTAGGCACAGCCTACAAAAAGAATTGGAGTCGATCGTCCATTCCGGGGAAAGGTGGAAGGAAACGAGACAGGCCGTCCTCCACGACGTTGGACACCCCCCGGATGTGAACCGCCAGGAGAGCCAAACCCCGAGAACTCAGCAGACGAGTCACCCAAAGCGACCAGCCCCAAAGAGCCTAGGGTTGCATTGAACCCCCTCGGTTGAGGCAATGAACCACCGGGGAGCAGTCTGATTGGGAGCTGGATTGTCGATCCGCGAGCGACTTGAACCCTCTGGAGCGACATCCACACTGCCGCGAACTCCCTGGCCGTGCTGTGAGCGCGACGGAAGGACGGACCCCACCACCCCTGGCCGGCCTGGTAAGCACTGGTCACAAAGCCCCAGCCAAGAGACGACGCATTCGTGAACACATCGAGCGAGGGCTCGGGTATGTGCCAAGGCATTGAACCCTGTAAAATCCATAGAGGAAGCCAGGGACGCAGCAACCTACCCTGGCGGC